TAGATTCAACATTTTTTCTTTGCACATAATTAATTCTTGTGCTTACTTCAAGCTTCTTTGCTCTATGAAGTAAAAAATATTGAAGTTGGTGCATCATTGGAGTTTCCAATAGTGTAGTTTAACTGGAAATCTTTAGGCAAAATGTGACAGCTTTCAGTTATTTGAATGAAATTACCACTGAAGTGTACGTATAAACTTTTATACGTTGATTCTTTAATCTTAAACATCTACTATTTAAAAGATTTTCTCCGCACAAAAGATTAACTATCTCATAGATTACATTGAAAATAAAAGAAATTTTGAAGAGCAAGCTCACGGGTTGAGGTGTCAAAATAGTTAAAAGAAAACAGTTATCCACCCATATTATCTATTAAAAATGGGTTGGATAATGAACTTTTTTAAAAACGGGTCGAATATGGATAAGAACCATATTATCCATTTAGAACATGGTTAACCAAAATGGATAACCAATGGATAACTAATGTGTTTAACTTTTACATTTGTAAAGCCTCAAATTGGGGGTTCCTCAAGTTTGGGAGACTAGGAATTCTCCCAAAAGTGATCATATTCAAGAAATCATGGATAATATGGATATCCATATTATCCGTCAGATAACCCGTTTTTTATCCGTCTCAGATATGGGTCGGGTCGGATAATTTATCTGTTTTTAAAATTATCCGTTTTGACCCGCTCATATCCGACCCGACCCGACCCGCCCGTTTTTCATCCCTACTCACGGGCCAGCTGCGGCCCGCTTAGGACCATGCTGGGCTAACATCTGGAGGCCCTTTCAAATGAAGGTCTGGGCTCGGCAATTAAATTCGGGAGTTTTATAGCTTCACCTATAAAAATCAAACTAATTACCCTTGTTTACCATTTATTTTTCTACCCATTAAACTAATTACCTTTCGTACCCATTGTAGTTTTTGTGGCTAATTGGCTATTTTTTATCCTTTTCTTTTTTCTCCTTTTTCTTTTCTTTTTTTCCTTTTTCTCCTTTTCTATTCTTTTTTTAAATCATATTATTCTTTATTTTATTATTTTCAAATAATCTAATTCCATACTCAATTTTGGATCCTTTCTTTTATTTTATTTTTTCTCTTTTTTCTTTCCTCTTGTTCATTTTCTTTATTTCTTCTTCCTTTTCTAAATAAATTTAGCTCTTTTTTTTATTTTACTTTTTTTGTTCTACATAATCTAATTACATTCACTTTTTTGCTCCTTTTCTTTATTCATATTTTTTATACAATAATAAAAGATAACTTATATAATAAATATTTATTCACTTTCTTTAATATAACTGATAGTATACTATTTGTATTCTTTTTCTCTTTTTTTCTTCTTTAAATCAATTATTAGAACAACTTATACATTATACTTGTTTTCTCTTCTCTCTTTTTTTTCATTGTATTTTTTTTCTTTTTAAAAAAAAAATTATATGTATTACTATAAATATTTCTAGCACATAGGATCCAAAATTATATATCATTATAATAAAATGGTATACTAGTATAGTAAAATGATATATTAGTATTTAATGTTATTGTAAAATACTTGTCACAATAGTATATTAAAACTGCATATAAATATACCAAATAGTTATATTACTATTTTATGTCTTCCGACACCTACTTCTTATACAATGAATATTATTTTCATGGAACTCTATCATAAAATTCATTTAAGAAAATCTTTGCTAGGACATAGTTGGAAAACTAAAAAAATTAAAAAATAACTTATTTATTGTGGTATACAGTTATATTATATTGTATACTATAATAGTATAATGTTACTATAACTATTACTTTAGCTTTGCACAATAGCACCTAGATGATTCAACAAATAGCAGCCGAAGTATCATATTATGGTGTATACTATTACAACATACTATTGCATACTATTATTGTATATTATTATAGTATATTGTATAATATAACAGTATATTATTGCAATATAGCTATATACTCCTACAATATATTGTATACCGTAACGGTATACTGTTAAGTAACTGTATTCTTCTTCGATTAGTACAATATACCATTACAGTATATTATATACTATAATATTATATTATTGCAGTATAGCTATATACTCCTACATTATATTATATATCGTAGCGGTACACTTTTGGGTAACTGTGTTCTTCTTCAATTTTCAGTTGAAAAATTCTATCTCAATCACCTCAAATCAGCTTCAAATGTGACTAAATTTCACTATAAACTTCTTGAAGGTACTGTAAGAAATAATTTACAGCACCAACTTTGAATTAAACATCAAATCTTCAAAATAAAATTTTAAATTGAGGAGCTTCAAGATCAATAATGGTGGATCTTTAAAGACACACAAATTTTTATATCTGGGAAGCTTAATATATAACCATAACAACATGGGTTCAGAAATACAAATAAATAGACAAAAAAGAACATACTAATATAGAAAGAGTATTTTGCAGTGAAACTCGTGTAAAATAATATGAAAACTTGTCTTTTAAAATTTATATAGAAAATTCTAAAACAAAATTGGGTAAATGCATGGTTTTATACTGGATTTTTATCATCCACTAAAAAGACTAAGCTAGAGGTATTTTTTGAAAGGGGAAAGGAACGTTTGGGGTGTAGGACAGTGACGAAGCCAGGAAATTCAATAAGAGTACTCAAATTTTGAACACCCTTTGCCAGTAGGCTATGCAAGGGTGTTCAAAGTTTATTTTTAATCAATAACAAGTAATATTTTACCTTATACGTAGTATAATTTTTGGCGAAGGGTGGTCAGTTGACCACCCTTAGGCCAACATAGTTTCGCCTTGGTGTAAGACTCTGTTTGTTTTGAGAAATTGAAAAGGAAAAGGAGATTGGGTAGGCGGGTAAATAATTTAGGTCGTATATGTAGGAAAAGTAAATCTTTTAGGCTTGAGTATTAAAGGGTAAATAATTTGGGCTTAATGGGTATAAAGTGAGATTTTCTCATTAAATTCTCCAACCCGCTAGGGTGTAGTAATAGTGTGGGCTAGCCACTTTTAGTCTTGTAATTAAAAAATAGCCACTATTATAAAGTTTCAAATTGGGTGAAATAATATCGAGAAAACTTCATTTATGGCCGTTCGGCACTAAATTAAGACAATCGCTAGCCTATTAAATTTGATTGCAAGTTATAGCCAAAAACTTATTACATTGGCTACAAAAAAAATACGTTGACCCATTTGATCAACTCTTCAAATTGTAAAGTAGAGTTTTTAATCTATTCCGATCTACTACTCTTCATTATTTCTCCACCATAAATTATTAAATTTTTAAAAAAAATCAATTTTCTTATTTAACTCCATTTGATTTACGGGTTTTAGTAGACAACTGAAAGCTATTTCAAAGTCGATATCACTTCTTTTTTTAATAATTGAAGAAATAAAATAAAAATTTCATATAACTAAAACCAAAAGCACCAACTTACGGTGAAATGAGCAAGTTTTAATTTTTCTCTCTCTCTCTCTCTCTCTCTCTTCTTTTTTCTTCTAAAGGCTTCGTCTTGATATTCCTCTAATCTAAATAAGTGTCACATTTTGCTTTTTAAGGTCAAGTTGGATCATTTTGAATCAATCTCCTATTTTATGGATAAAAATTAAAAGGTGTAAAATACCCTTTAAATATTCGTCAGAGAGATACCCAGTTTTTCATATTACGAATAATGAGTTCCTTAAATTTACCAATACTTACAATTAGCAGAAAGAAATTTATACTTGTTTAATAGAAACTAAAAAATAACAAACAATTTAAATATAAAAAAATTAATTAGAGTAACATGAGTCTTGTGAGTTGCGATTCAATAGAATTACTTTAATCTTTTTGTGAGGTGGACCTATTGTTTTGTTCATTACCGTTCTTTGATTTTTGTTTTAATAGAAATGTCAGCAATTTCTTAATTATAAATTTTTATACAAAATAGTCTATACACGTTGGATAGATAAGATTAAGGTAAAAAGAATAATATATATACACTTTTATACATCATACAAAAGTCTATATACGTTGGATAGATAAAAGTGCTCGGGAAATAAAATAGACTGTCACTATACTAAATAGACTATCACTATACAAAATATATACAAAATAGACTGCCACTATACAAAAAATATACAATAGACTGTCACTATACAAAATATATACAATAGACTGTCACTATACAAAATATATACAAAATAGACTGTCACTATACAAAATATATGCAAAATAGACTGTTACTATACAAAAAATATATAAAATAGACTGTCACTATACAAAAAATATATAAAATATACATTTCAAATTATTAAATGTAATATGTTTGGGCCGAAGGCACATTTCGTATCAATGAGAAAAAACATAGGCTATTAAAATTTTGAGGGACTACAGATGATCATTTTCTCAATAATATCTTGAGTTTGACCTTAGGAATTTGAAACTCCTTGACTATTTTAAATTAGTGAATTTTACCGCGCTTCACGCGGTCTTGGTAGACCTCAATTTAAATTATTTACCTAAATAATATTCTTTAATATCCAAATATTAATAGTGTTTTAAAAATTTCTTTTAGTATACAGATTCAAACAGATCAGGCTTTAAGTTTTAATCTTTTTTATTATTAACACTTAAAGTTCGTATCTTTATCTAACTTTCCATCCAATATATATGTGTATAAGTATTCAACGTTTCTTTTCTTTCAATAGAGAGTTAGGTGAGTTCATACTCTTCATAAGAGAAGATCAATGTATCTTAAACAAATAAACGTGCTATTATCTTGTTGATTAATATAGTGTAAACTGAAACCCTCCTCTTTTTTTTTTCTTTGTAATAATCAATCTCAATTAAGTTAATGAATAAGAGCTTATAAAGTTAGAGAGTCTAGGAAGAACGAAAAGGAGTTATAACGAATTCGAAAAGTTGTAATGCAATTGCGGAAGGTAAGAGAAATAAATTAAGAGGATTATAAAAGAATGAAATGTAAAAGAACTTTGGAAGTGGTATTTAAGAATGTAGTATTGATTACGTTCCCAATTCTACAATTAGAAATCAAACGAAATCGAATTAAATAATTAATTTTGAAAAGAAAAAAGACAAACCAATGAATACATTTTCTAGAGTAATAATATCCTAACTATAGCTCACTCCATATTTCACAAGGCAGCCTTTGGTTTTTAAGGTGTGTGCAACAAAGAAAAATACTCATTTTTCAGCAGCAAAAACCATCCGCATGTTCTTTTCCTTTCCTTTCCTTCCATTTCATCCCGAAACTTTTCATTGTTGTCAATCTTGTAGTAATCTGTAGTCCTCAATACTAAGATTCAAAGTAATTTGAGTTCCAATATATCTACACAACTACAATAAAAGAAAGCTTGCAACATTACAAGTCAATTGTTTCACCATTGATCTTGTTGTCTCTTTCTCACATTAAGCATCACTTTTCAACTTCCAAATGAAATAGTTTTACGATCATTCATCAAAACTTCTTGAAATTAAAGTTGCACTCTCCGGATTCTAGCCATCTCACCCATTATGCAGCTGTTTAGTCCCTATCATCTATGTTGTGCCCGTGATCGTGTAGTCTTATGTTGGTTCTAGCCAGGAATAACACCGCGAAAACTGATTATTCTAGATCCATATTGCAGATTACATTAAGCATGGTATCTATTTCTGCACGGGATCGAAGTTGCATTTAGGTGCTATAGACCAAAAAATTACCAATATAGGAAAAAATAAAAATTAGGTATTTTTGAAAACATACATCTAAAGAGACACGCACATTAAATGAAGTGAATTAAAGCCAAAAAATAAGGATATCAGTAAGATAAGAAGAAGAAGCAGAAGCTTTTACAAGAATATAATCTCCCCCACTAAATTATTATTATTATTATTATTTTATTTTTTTTACAATGATTGTAACTTAAAAAAAATACGTATTTGTTAAAATATTTACACACACATATTGTTCAAGTGACAAACAATGAAAGTCTGCCAATGAGCTGTCAACACTTCAACTAATTAGAGTTTCGGGCACCGAATAAAGTGGATAGAAATAAAAAGAAAAAGATAATTAACGTGGACCTAACATTGCAAGAGAGAACTTTAACTTTCAAAAGCAGGAGTTTAATAATTTTGTGGAGTATATACCTTAGACTGCGAGGATGTGAAAACAAACTGAGCCGTGGAAAAAATCATCAAGAGAAGGTGCCTTTTCACTTTTTGAAGAAATGGTTCTGAAACTCACCCAAAAAAAGCCATCTTTCCGAATTATTCAGGGAAAAAAACTAAATTGAGTAAAAAAAATTCACAACTTAGTTCAGTTCTCACCAAAAGAGAGATGCCTCTGCTAACGATTCTTCCACCTATATTCAGATATATCCGCTCGTTCTTAGTAGATCAAAACCCTAACCACAACAAACATAGGGTATAACAAATGATTATATTCAAACGAACTCAAAAAATTTAGCTAACAAACATCATATGTATCAACATTCAACAACGATAAAATAATTACCTTTAGAGTTTTAAGAAATTAATGAACTTCAGTGTGGGTATCAGAATTACTAACCTGTAGGCTGTAGGAGGGAGAGTGGAATGTTAACTGCGGTACTTTTTGTTGCTTTTATTGTTGTTACGAAGGAGCACTTTTGTTTTCTTCAATAAAGGTGCGTTTCATATGGCGACTTTTGGATGTCCAGATACAAATTTTGGCTAGAAAATTTTCTGAGAATTTTGAAACCGTTGCCTTCTCTGTTTCCTCATTATTAGGGGATGTAATTGAACCTAATATTCAGATTTAATAATTAATTATGTTGAATTAAAATTAGAGGAAAAAGATGAAAAACTAAGAAATTAGATAAATACATTTGCTGGGATATGAGAGTGCCACATCAGCTTTTAATTCCCCTGCATTATATTTATATATAGATATATAGATTATAGGGGCTGAGAAGTGATTTTTTTGAATTTTATCCTGGTAAGATTGGGTTGGGTCAGCCCGCTTTGGATATAAATATGTAAAATAAAATTAATGGTATTAAGGAATAAGGAGTACCCAATTCGTGGGGAATGCCAACTTATTTTTGATATAAAAAAGTAAAATAAAATTTATTCACTTCACTATCTTAAGATTACATTAAGGTTTGGTTAATACAACGTTGCCAACTTCCAACTCCAGAACGGGTTGTGTCAAGCAATATAAAACGGTCTCTTAGAGAAAAGTAGTTTTGGGTATTACACCGCACGTCCCTTTTTCTTGATGTGCTGTACCTTAACTTGGTCAAAGTTCCACTTCTTTCCCTAAAATGGTAAGCCTAATATTCAGTTTTTCTGTTAATCTTTGTTAGATTTGGAAAATCGAACTGAGAATTTATATATCTCAGATGAGATCTGAAGTTTGGATGGCGGTGACAATATTGGTGGTGGCATGGAACTTCAATGGGGCATTTGGGATTAGATTCGTAATTGAGAAAGAAGAATGCTTTTCACATAAGGTTGAAATGGGGGAAACAGTTCATTATTCGTTTGTTGTCATTAAGTCCGATGGCTCTTGGCATTACAGTGAAGAAGAGGGTGTTGATCTTGTGGTATGATTTACTAAACCTCTGTTCTGCTGTCTTTCTTTTTCCCTATGTGAGCCCAATAAATTAATGGAGTTTTAAAAATATGTACATTATTAGTAATAATTTATTATATCTGGTATTTTATTAAGATTAAACCTGGTAAGAAGTGCATCTTATACTGAACCTGTAGATAATGGGAGTGGACTTAGAACCTGGTGATGTTATTTGAATATTTTGTTGATTTTGTTTTCATGAAGAGAATGTACAGAATCTAGCAAAGGTGTCTTTTTTATTTCTTTTCTAGAAAGCTAACTGGCATCGACCTAAATAAAATAAAAATGTACCTCAAGTAGAAAACAGTCCATCGAAAAACTGTTTTTGTATAATTTGGGAGACATCCCCCTCTAGTATGATTTGCACCGTCCATTTCGATTTCGATTCGGTTCAGATGAGAACCTCGAGGAGGAATCGCAAAAACCCGGGGGACTTTGGGGGGGGGAGTCATGGGCAGGCCCAGTAGAGTCTT